ATCTACAGTAATGCTGTGAAAACCCAGTTCCTGCATAATTCTTTAAGATGCTTTTTGATTGTGGTCGCAATGGTGTTTTAGATATTGTAATTTATCCTCTGTCCATAGATGTTTTTCCAGACACTTTCAAAACTGCTTTGGTGAAGCCTCTGCTATAAATAGCAGCATTGGTCATTCTGTACTAAATATTTCTAGTTAAGCCTGAAGAACAGCCCTAGAAAATTTTGTTTTCAAACAAATACATGCATATTTAATATCAAACAAGTTATATGAGAAATTTCAGTCAGATTTTCCTCCTAACCATGGCACTGAGACAGCATTGGTTCAGATTGTGAATGACCTCAGCCTCAGTGCTGATGTACAAAATCCTTCTTTTATGGTTTTATTAGATCTTAGTGCAACTTTTGATGCCGTTGATTGTAATCCAACGTCTTGAATGCTGGGTCAGCCTCTCAGGCAGAGTTTAGAATGGTATAAATCATATCTAGGTAATAGAGAGTTTATGGTTTTAATGGGTAATGGCTCATGAAAATGATTTGCCATTTTTTTTGTGCAGTCCCTGTAGGTTCAGTTTTAGGGCTTTCGTTTTTTGTCTTTGTACATGCTACCTCTAGGTCATGTCACTAGGAAACATGATAACAATTTTCATGGCTATGGTGATGATGCCCAGTTATACGTTTCCTCTCTTTCTGATAATCTGAGACAGACTGATCAGCTGTGTGTCAGATGTTTCTCAGTGAATGTTACAAAATTTTCTAGGACGAAATCACACGCAAATACTGATCATTGGTACAAAAACTGAGAGAAAGCTGCTTTATGGGAAACTTGGTTCTTTAGCTTCATATACCAAACCTGAAGCAGGAAATAGTTTATTTAGAGAATAGTTTAACTATGTAGGGGAAAGTGTACCCATTTCTTGAAAAGTGTACCTTATTTGGGGTAAGTTCACCTGTTTAGGGTAAAGCACACTCATGTAGTAGACAGTAAAACGGTTGAAATGAAAGCGTACCCATTTAACAGAAAGGGCACCCGCTTTTGAGGATAGTAAAGCCGTTTAGGGGACATTACAACCATTAAAAGGAAAGTTCACCCGTCAGGAGTTAATACACCCATTTATTTGACAGTAAAATGGTTACGACGTCAGTGGAACTGTTTTAAGGAAAGTGCACCCATTTTGGGGTTAGTACAACCATTTAAATGAAAATAGAACTGTTAAAATGAGAGCGCATGATTTATATGTTGGAGAAGGATCTTATATGGTACATGAAATTCAACAGGTCGCCAGTGTAACGACGACAGGATTGGGGACATATGGTCAGACTTTTAGGTCCTTGTAAGAACTCTAGCAGCTCATTCTGGACCAGTTGGAGCTTATTTAGTAAAGTGTTGGAACATCCAGCAAAAACGGTGTTAGTAGTCCAGCTTGGAGGTTATAAAGGCATGAACCAGCTTTTCCTCATCGTTTCAGGATAGAATATTGCATCGTTTAATAATGTTACGCAAGTGAAAGGATGCCGTTCTACCGATGTTGCAAACATATGTATCAAAAGAGAGACACCTAGATTTTATAGTATAGTATAGTACAACCGTTTAGTGTAAAGTGCACCTGCTTAGAGGACAGTATACCCATTTTAAAAAGTGCACATATTTAAAACAAAGTGCACACAATTACAATAAATTGCACCTGTTTTGCTCAAAGTTGAGTTTCTGGTGTTGGTGTTAAAGCTGAAATGGAGCGTGTTTTATGGTCTGTGCAGAGAAAGTGTGGTTCTGTACACTACATCAAACTCTTACTTCTAACACTGAGGAAAACTAGTTTTTCTTCAAGGTATGGGCCTTGAATTTGTAAAAATTAATTTCAGACAAATTAAGACTTTTTAGGAACCCACAGACACCTTATAAATGTACATGGAACAAAAGCTTATGTTTATCATTAGAGTATGAAATTACACAGGTACATAGTTTAAGCACTCACATGCACACTCCTGAACCCTGAATGTCCATGTGTACATGATTAGGTCCTCTATATAGTTTCCATTCTCAAACTGGAAACAAAAAAAACTCATTCTTTTTTCTTGATGCTTTTCTGCTTTTAGTCCTTCTTAGATTTCTTGCTTTTCTTCTTATTTCTTGTATGCTTCCTCCTTCTTCTGTCATCTTCAGTTGATGAGTTTGATTCAGACTCTGAGCTCTAAGTGTCTACAAGTGTGTTTATAGCCTGTGGTCATCTTTATTACTGTAAGGACCACCACAACACAGTGATGACTGATCACAGGTCCACTCAATCAAACAGGGACAGAATATTTATTAAGCTTCATTTTGAGAAACACTGAAATTTGATCTGTTTGTGTCAGTGCTGTCACTGGATTATGGCCAATCAAATTATTATGCTCCACCTTATTTTCTCATCCCTCTGCTCACTGCTTGCCAAATGCTCCTGTCCGCCATTGTCTTGAGCCAAAACTGCGAAGGTCTGAAAAATTTTGCTTAAAGTGCTCTTTAACTACAAATGCTAAAATGAACTGAATCAAAATGTCAAAGCAGAAGTTTACTTCAATGTATCAAATCATTAAAAGTAAGACATGAGTGTTTTTTTAAGCCCACTGTGGCAGTTTGCTTTAGTCTGGGATGGTTAGGTTTTTAAGTTTGGCATGTTGTTTTTGTACATCTCAGCTGTATGACTGTTTTTAACTCAGTTATGTTGTCTTCTTTTGGGCAGAAGTTGTGCCTGTGGTGAGGAGACACATGCGTGAAGAGTGCCGTTGTGTTGTGTTTATGTGAATCCTGCATTCTGGTTGATGTGTCACACAGTCTTGCTATTGTTTTGAACCAGGACACAAACATTGGAAAAGGGTTAGTGACTGTTCTACCTGCCTCCTCCCTGTGTTTAAATATTGCCATAGGTTCAGCTCCCCCTTCAAATGTTTCAGCACTCATGTAAAACCAATTCTGGTGCTGATCTTGGTAATAGAAAAATGGCAGCTTACAGGAGCTCACAAAAGTTCCACATGCTGATCCATTTTACTGACCAACATACATGCACACACCAGGGGGCAGATTTAAAATAGTTAACATCGCAATAGTCTCTGAACAGATCACCAGCGATATGTTCGATAGGATTAAAGGTTAATACATTAGTAATTATCTAAAATAGATTAGTCTTCTAAACCTCTCAACATTCAAAAGGCTGCTGTTTTGTTCAACCTTCCTTTTGCACTTCCAACTGCTTTTTTACTGTCAGGAGTTTTGTAGCCACTCTGACAGCTCTTCTCATTGGTTTTGAGTCACATTCTCTGTTTGGATCTTTAACATAACATGATGGATAGGCTGAGGGAGAACAGCAGAGTTCTGTCTCAAGCAAATCGCCCTGTCTTAATAGTCTAACCTGTAATATTTCTCTCCCATAAATTTGCACTGAATTGACTCTTAAAAATACGGTACTAAGCCGCCTCCTTCATCAGTTCAGTATGGAACATGTCTTTTAGTTTCCAATTACAGGATGATTCCATCTTTTACAGGATGGTTGGCAACCCTAAATGTAGCAGCCCTTGGCTTCGACAAATAAGACGTAGAGAGTTTCCAAAAAGGGTACTTAATTAGGTAACTTAGTGAACCCTACAGCACTGCAAAATGTATAAAAAGCAATGCAGTGGCAGGGTGCCAAAATATGAGCTGCTGATGTGGTTAAACTAATGGAGAAATTGAATGTGTTTCATGCAACAATGAAGTCGCATAAAATTGTTTCAAGCAACTCACAACATGCAACTAGTTGCATGAATGTTTAGACATTTATATTCGTGGCATTTGGCAGATGCTCTTGTCCAGAGCAAGTTATAATTTGATCATTTTACACAGGTAGGTGAAGGTAGTGTTAGGAGTCCTGCCCAAGGACCGTTATTGGTATAGTGTAGCGTGCTTGCCCAGGCCAGCCTACTACTACTACTACTACTACTACTACTACTACTACTACTACTACTACTACTACTACTACTACTACTACTACTACTACTAATAATAATAATAATAATAATAATGATGAGGATAGGGCAGCACGGTGGCGCAGTGCGTAGCACTGTTGCCTCACAGCGAGAATGGCCTGGGTTCGGTTCCCGGCTGGGCGACTACAGTCATTTCTGTGTGGAGTTTGCATGTTTTCCCCATGTCTGCGTGGGTTTCCTCCCACAGTCCAAAAACATGCAGTTAAGCTAATTGGACATGCTAAATTGCCCCTAGGTGTGAGTGATTATGTCTGTCTGTCTGCCCTGCGATGGACTGGCGACCTATCCAGGGTGGATCCTGCCTTCTGCCCGATGACAGGACCGTGACCCAGAAGGATAAGCGGTTTAGATGATGTATGTATGATAATGAGGATAATAATAATAATGACTGTAGCTATAAATGAGGCATTATTTTACTTACAGCTGTGAGACGTCATTTACTGCATGTACATTGTTTACTAACAGGCTGCAATCTCTCCAGCTCCATTTCAGTCAAGAGGAAAGTGAGTCCTAAAGACTGTACCTTGGACATTAGGCTTTTTATCAGTGAATTAATCATGGTGACAAGTGCAAGAAAAAGTTGTTTTAATCAGTTTGCTAATTAAATGGAATTTCTGAGGAGTGAATTCTCCTCATTTATTCATCTCTAAGACCAGATAAAACTACATTACACCCCTCTTGGTCTTCATGTTTTTTATTGATACACAGAAGTTACAGAAGTTACAGTACAATCTATTCTAATCTATAACATTTATCACATATTATCTGAGAGTACAGCTGAGACATTAAATGTAGAAAAATTATGTAATTGTTTCCAGGGAGTAAATTTACAATATTTCTGTTACTCCAGTAAGAGATGAATCTCTGAGAGAGGAGCAGCAGAGAATTCAGATGAAGAGGATGGAGGAGATCAGAGGAACCAGCATGATGAGGAAACTCGGTAGATTCCGCAGTTTCTAAGGATATGCATACTAAACTGCTGCATTAAAGCATTTCTGAGTTCTAAAGCTCAGAAGACAAGGTGTGATTTGTGACACAAAACACGTCATGAGGGTGGATAGGGTTAACCCCCTCAGCACCGTTACACAGATCAGTGCCACAGCACACTGTTCCTGTTTTATCGCACTCAGTCTTGGTTGAACATCCTTTTGCAGTATGAGTCAGTACCATATGTTTTGTTGCTGAGAGAGAGAGAGAGAGAGAGAGAGAGAGAGAGAGTAATAGAGCCATTCATAGATATTCACTGAACCTCAAACATTGAAACTGAAAAACTGAATCTGAATTTACTCCACTGAGATGCACTACCACAAGAATAAAATATACTGATTTGTTGATGGAATATTTTTTGTAATATATTCCTGCTGAAGTGATGTTCATTTAAATTATGTAAATGTAAATTTAACGTATCAATAATGTTTGTAATTTTTTATATATCTGTTTGCCATTCAACCCCATTACTACATTGTTACTGTTTAATCTATATGATAGCCCACTTATGACTGCTGAGAAAATTTAAGAAAAATGTGAAGAAATTCTATATATCTACTTCAATATTCTTTGGTTTGGATTGTTTTTTGAGCTTCCTGAGAAAAACCACCTCCGTCAATATATATCATAAAACAGAAATGACAATTGTTAAAAAATGGTCTGTAATGTATTTTGGAATAAAACTATTCATATCATCATTAAGGACTCATTGTCTATTGATTCCCTGTTACAGTCAGGTGCTGCAGTCACACAAAATGGTGTAAAATAATTTTGTAACATTGTCATATTTATGCAATATTTTGGAAACATATTTTAGCGTCTTTGAGTTTGTGAAAAGCGCTACATAAGTATAGTGTATTATTATTATTGTTGCTTTTGAAGATAATGCCTGTATTTTATGATGTTTCCGAAACAAGTGACCTAAAGCTCATTGCAACATTACATTTGACATTTACTGTGTTAATAATATTGAATATTTACTGGCATTTTCTGATGAAGTACAAACAGGCAGACATATGGGAATGTGAGCTTAAATTTGTTTATTTCAGAAATGATCCAATCTCTGCTTCAACTCAGTGTCACAGAATTTATTGTGACTCTGGGCAGACAAAGAGTCAGGCGAAGCCATTTCTCTGCTCCAAGATTTTCTTTTTATTGAACACTAGTACAAATCAAACACTATCTGGAAGGAGGTCACCCCCCAACTAAAGGCTTCACACCACTGGTGACCCAGACATGATGGTTCCGCCTGGCCCTGCATGGTCTGTTAGTGGGTTTAAGTTTTTCCCTATGAATTACAACAGTCTGCTGCCCTGGCTGCGCCCTATAAACCATCTCACCCAGGTGTTCTTTCACCATACAGTGGCCCTTCCAGGGTGACTGTAACTTGAGACAGTTCCCCTTCCTGTGGAGCAGGTTGTACAGCCACACTCACACTTCATGGCGTGAGTCATTTGCCCATTTCTGCGTGGCCTCACCCTGATGGTCCCTGGTGAGCTAGTGCACTGTATGGAAATGGTGGCCAAGCTCCTCAGCATATTCCACTCTGGTAACGCTGTCTTCCTCCGACCCCAGTGGGCTCGAGGTGATGCTTGTGAGTGATGATAGCCAGCAGAACAGTGAGTATTTGGTTAAAACGCTCCATGAGACCATTACTTTGAGGGTGGAGCGGTGTGGTCCAAGTCTTTCAGATACCCAGTTGGCTTCACCTCAGCCATGACCACCAACTCAAAGGTGCACCTCTGGTCACTGTGTCCTCAGTTATGGCATAGCGGCACAAGAACTGCTCTACCAGCCACTCTGTCAGGACAGCATATGACAGCATATGCTACAGCAGAGAGATTGTTGAGCCTGTGTTGATGAGTGCGGTGAGCCATTCTCCGTTAATTCTGCATTCTATCTGAACCCACAGAGGCCGCTGCTCTCTCCGTTAGAGGCAGCAATGCTAAGGATTACTCTGATGGACAGCACTGCCAGCATCTGCAGCCCACCGCTGGGAAGCTGTGGTTAGTGCTGCAAGGGATTGCCATGCTGCTCCACCAACAAGTTCACAAGAGTCTGGACTGCTTTCCCCCCATGGCCAAGCACAGCTGGATCGTAGTTTCCACCTCTCTCCAGCCACAAAGCTGAACAACCATCTGCAGCTGCATTGCATGCAGCTCCCACGGTCTTTCCTGTGTAATATGTGCTGGCTCTGCTCTACCAGCATGTATTACCACAGAAAGACCATGGGATGTATTTCAGTGGTTTCACTTTTATCGGCTTGCTTGCCGCTTTTCTCATTGGCCGCTGCACTGCTCCTCTCGTCCTCTCCACTATCAGCTTCTCTTCCACTGGCTAATCTTCTTCTTTGCCTTCCGCCACACAATTGTTTCATCTGCTGCTCAAGCTCTTGTATTACAGTGGCAAAATCCCTCTTCTGAGCACCAAAGTGATGCTGACCAGACCAAGAGTCAGGTGAAGCCATTTTCTCTGCTCCAAGCTTTTCTTTTTATTGAACACTAGTATAAATCAAACATGAACACTCCTCTCCCTAGGTAGAGGTCACCACCAACTAAAGGCTTCATGTCACCATTGACCCCACCCCCCACAGATGCAAAGCACCCACCAAACAATATCCCAGAAACAACATAACCCACACAACCACATAACTAATGAACTTTAAAATGAACAACATTGTAGTCCTTTTGCTAGCGGTAGACCACCACAATATGTTTTCAGACATGCTTTAATATTGAAACTGTTTTGGAAATCTGATGCTGTATTTTAAACCTGATCCAATGAAGAACTTGTAGGAATATTAGTCCTAGTGATTTCCTTTTGAAGTCATGCAAGTATAGACTTAAACTTCATTGCTCAAAAATTTTCATTGCTCCAAATTCAATTGGCTACAACACAAAAAACAGCTGTGAGACTGTGAGTATGTGTGTGTGGCAAGTCTAAGATGAGATTGAGCTTTATTTCTTACTGGTTTTGGTAAAGCATTGATCTTCAGGTGAAGGACAAGTGACGGGTTGAAGAGCACATATCAGTCCCTCACACTCATAACACTTCAGAGCTGTAGGAGCCAGTAAATCTACAAAGATAAGCAAACAAACAAAAAAAAAATGTACACAACACACAACAATCAAATATATATGAAGTTACACTACAAAATAAAATACACATGCACAATATTAGTAAAAGTTATAAGGTAAAACTAAAATTTCTGATGATGCAATATCATCTGTATAGACTGAGGTCACCATCCAGACGTGGCAACTTTACATTCATTTATTAATTTATTATTATTATTATTATTATTATTATTATTATTATTATTATACAATCAGACTAAACGGCAATCTGAATATTACAAGACAATGTTTTAAAACTCTGTTCAAATGTTTTAAGACAACTGAGGAAATTTGGCATGCCAACCAAAATTCTCAGTAACTTCTACAGGTGTACAATCAAGAGTATCCTTACCAGCTCCATCACACTGTGGTATGGAAACTGCACTGTGCAGGACAGGAAGGCTCTCCAGTGTGTAATCAAAACTGCACAGTTTATCTCAGGAGCAGCCTTCCCCTCTCTACAGAACATTTACCACACCAGGGTCATCAGGAGGTCACTCAACATCATCAGGGATAGTTGCGAGTGGAACAATGTGATTTTACCCAGAGTAGCTTTTTACAAAGTTGGAATATCAGTGTTCCCTCTTGCTCTGAAATCGTTCCAATAGCGCTTTATGCCATGAGTCATACAGACCTCTTTTCCACACTGACTACCTCTGTGTGAGTGAGCGAGTGATGCAGCAGCATCACTGCTACAGCTTCCACACCACTGTCACACACAGTGACTGCACTGCAGAGCTGTTCAGCAGACTTACGTATTGGGAATTCTCACGAGTTCTACAGATATTACACACAATTAATCTTGTGTTGTCCATTTGCTGTGTGAGTGATAAAGAAGATCATAATAAAAATATGCACATTTATTTACCGTGAGCAGACTTCTGGTTTGTGATTGAGAGACTCGGCTTAACACTTTCATCACTGTTACACAGATCAGTGACACAGCAGGTTGCCTCTTCTCTATCTTCGTAACACTTAGCCTTGGTTGAACATCCTTGTAGCGTATGTTGCCTGCCCATATAGTACGCTGACAAAGAGAGAGAGAGACAGAAGGGGTTAAGAAAGCCAAAGAAAGCAGAGCTGAAATCCATTTGCAGATATTCATTGAATATTGGCGCACTAAAAAAGCTGAATCTGAATCGGAATTCACTTCATTCAAATGGAATAAAATATATTGACCTGTTGTGATAAAATATTTGTCTAATATATTCATGTTGAAGTGATGTACACATGTAAATCATGTAAATTTAATGCATCAATACTGTACACACCATTTGTGTTTGAAACCGGATCTCATCAAGAACTTGTAGAAATAACTTCAGTTCTAGTGATTTCCGTTTGAAGTCACACAAATGTGGACTTTACTGCTCACAACATTTCACTCAAATTGGCTACATCAAACAGCTGTGATTGTGAATAGTGTGCTGTAGAGTCTTAGATGAGATTGAGCTTTATTTCTTACAGGTTGCAAAAAAGCAGCGATCTGCAAAAAATGGACACTCCACAGGTTTAGGATCACATGTCGGCACCAAACACTCGTAACACTTCAGAAGTGTAGGAGGCTGTAAATCTACACAGACCAACAAACAAGCAAAAAAACAATGAACACATGGAAGGTAAAATGTTTCACACTTCACTTTACCAACCACACTGAAATCAAATATAGATGAAGTTACAATACACAATTAAATACACATGCGCGGCATACTGAAAACTGAGTGGAAAAAGTACTGAAAATCCCTACTCAAGAAAAACTACTGTAATGGTAAGTACAAGTAAAAGTATTAATAAAGTAAATTACTCAAGTAAGAGTAAATAAGTTATTTATTGGAAAACTGCTTGAGTAACTTTTTTTGTATCTCCACAGTCACAACCTGAGTTGACTCAGCTTTATCACTGGAAATAATCAGTTCGCTCTACTAGAGCACATTTATCCCTCTTTCTGTGAACTGTGTAAGAAAAAGGTTTACATGTAACTACATGCATTTCATGGTTAGATGATTATATAAGACTTGCAAGTTTATCTGTGTCCAACAATGTTGTTTAGAATCAGTGTAACGCTGTGCAGAGTTTATTACGGTTTAATTTTAAAAGTCTATATAGAGTCAAAATAACAGGTCGGATAATGAATTAATAATATAACAGCAGCCCTACTGCCCACTGGCTGAAGAAATGATTCACATTCACAGATCCAGTGCTGATTATCCAGCGCTGGTATTTTGTATTTTTACTTTATTTGACAGTTAAACAGACTCAGATATAAATAAAGATGAACACAACCAGAGAGAGAGAGAGAGAGAGAGAGAGAGAGAGAGAGAAACCAGAGCTAAAATAAAAAATTCTGCTGATGTTGAGGTTACAGTCCAGATGTTGCAACTTTACATTTTGTTTTTTACAATGAGATTAAACGCTAATCTGAATATTACAGGAGAACACTTTTATAACACTCTCACCTTTGTTACACAGATCAGTGTCGCAGCACGTTGCCATTCTCCCTGCTACATCACAGTCAGTCTTGGTTGCACATGCTTTCACTGTATATGGTGCATGCATCATTTCAGCTGAGAGAGAGAAAGACAAAAAGAGAAAAGAGAAAGGAGGGGTAAAGAACGTTACAGAGCTGAAAACCATTCACAGACATTCATAGAACATTGAAACACTGAAAAAGCTGAATCTGAATTTACTCCATTCAGATGGAATCCTACATGAATAAAATACACTGACATGCCAAAAGTCATGGGACAGAAACTAGTATCATCCAGGCCACATCATTCTCTCCAGAACGCTCCTCAAACCTGGACAACTTGGACCCGATGGCACACTGCATTATCCTGGTGGAATATCCCATCGCTGTAGGGGTACGTGAAGTCCACACTAATGTTTCCCTTAGAAGTTTAATTACAGTATAGTTGTTGATATTTTGAAGATCGTGCCTGTATTTTATTGTGATATGTCTGAAACAAGTAGTATATTTTTAATAATTCTGATGATGCTGGTAAAATGCTAATATATTATTATGAAGCTGATTTGGCATATTTTTATGGAGCTGTGTTAGTAATGAGTATTTACTGATGAATTACAAATAGGCAGATGTTTGGAGATGTGAGCTCTTAAATTTGATTAATTCAGAGATGATTCAGCCTCTACTTCAGCTCAGTATCATACAATACGTTTTCAGACAGCTTAATATTGAAACTGTTTTGGAAAGTTGATGCTGCATTTTAAACCTGATCTCACAAAAAAAAAAAGAAATCAGCTCTAGTGATTTCCTTTTGATTTCATTCAAATATAGATATAAGCTTTACTGCTCACAACTTTTCACATAAATGAGTTACAACAAACAAACAGCTGTGAGACTGTGAGTTGTGTGCTGCAGAGTCTTAGATGAGGTTGAGCTTTATTTCTTACCGTAGATGCAGCGATCTTCATATCTAGAACACTCCACAGGTCTATGATAACATGTTGGCCCGTCACACTGGTAGCACCTCAGAGCTGCAGAACCCTGTAAAGCTTCACAGATAAAGAAACAAACAATGAAATGTGAATCTAAACAAATGAAATAGAAATAAGCACACAAACAGTTAAAAAAGTAAAGAAAAAAATAAAGTAACAAAAATAACATTTAGTTTTCATTCTGAAATTATTCACAGTGCTAAAATAAAATGAGCTCTTTAAAAGTAAATGTGCAAAAGGCTAATGATATTTTGCATCGTTTAGTGCTGATAATGAGTTTTGGTTGTCTGAGGCTTACATTCCCACTAACACTCTGCACATTGCAACTATTTAATGTAGATTTAAAATAGAATAAATATAGTTGATATATAAGAAGATACAACAGTCTGAAAAAGAAAATTCTCTGCATTTAAACATATAGGCATACCATGTGATATTAAGTACCAGTACCTTCTGAAAAAAGCATGTAGACGAGCATCAGAGTGACCAGCGTCTTCATTGTTGGTGAGTTAGAGAAGTTGAGAGTGTGATGGAGAGATGAGAGTGAACTTCATTTATACAGAGTTCTGAGAAGGTGTGGCTTTGAAGGCACTGTTCCTGTTTACAGCTCTCCACTGTTACAGCACCACCTGCCCCCTTTAGTCTCGTGGTTGTAAAGCCACATTTCAAATGTCTTTAATAAAAGAACATGCTGATACTTACGGCATATGCTGTTGAAGGGATCCTGTAATCAAGCTTGGATCTTTTTTTTAAATAGAATGCTTTGTTTAAGAATATATTTCTAACACATAGGAATAATAGCAGTTCTTCGGCTTTTTTTTTCTCTGTCAGGCATGTGACATTGTCCTTGAGAAGGGCGCTGCCCATCTCCAAACTAGCCTAACAGATATTGTGGCTGCCTGCACTGTAAACTTAGATTAGTTGACAATATTCTCCTTTTACAAGTCCTGCTAATGCTTGAATTATTTAGGTTAACTTGAATCAAATACTCTTCCTTGTGTAGCGTATTGGCATCAATTAAAACATTACATTAAATCAACTGTTTTGTACAGTAACAAATAAATGGCTCAGATAAGAATTTCTGAGGACTCTAAAAGTTTAATGCATGTTTGCATTTTTGCAAAGAGAATTACATTTATAAATGACAAAAATAAGAAGTAATTAACAGAAACCAACAAAATCACTAAGAATGCTTTTAAGATATTTGAGCACAGGTCTGTAGGATTTACACAAATTAACTGATCTTAATTAGATTTACCTAAAGATTAGACAAGGAATTGTATGTGTTAGAAGATTTGTATTGGTCATTTTAACAAATTAGTAAAGTAAATCCAGTTGTTATGTTTTACAGTTTGTGGTACAGGAAGAGGTAGACCAGTGTAGTGTTAGAGCAGAGAGAAAGTCTTTCCCAAAGACTTGTATAGTGTGACATGTTTGACCAGAATCCAGGGCTGCGACATGGAAGGAACAGTGTTTTCCCCTACATTATACCAACTACTACACTATACCAACCACACTACAATCAAATGTAGATGAAGTCCCACCACATCATAAAATACATTTACACAACATTAGCTGACAACATATGCTCTATATTCATTTTATTCTTGGCTGGAAGTATTTATCTTCTTTACATGTGAGTGGTGCTACTAGGATCCTATTATGCAATATCAATTGGTTAAGGAATCTGTAATAAATGACTTCAAAGCCACTTAATGGTAGAGCCGACTCTTGACAAATAGACAATAGACAATAACACAAAGACAAGACGTGCACAGAGAGTAAATTCAGAGTATGTGCAAGGTCAGAGGCAGAGGTAGAATTTGAAGAGCAAACTATAGTAAGTAATAAATATGTATATGTCTTGAGCGAATTAGCGCTTAGGTGTTTTATAAGTGTGCATTAATTGGAAGTCTACAGTATGTTAAGGTAAACTAGATCAGGTGTGCAAAGATAGTAAGTATTTTCTAAAATACAAGTACAGCAAATATTGTAAACAGTGTTACGCAGCATCACAGTTGTTATGTTCATAAGGTGTACAGTGCAGTTAAATGAGCATTAGCAGCTTAACGCAAAGTATACAGTTTACAGCATAAATGTTCAAATATAGAGAGATCAAGTTAAAAGTGCAATGTGTGTACAGTCCCATGAGCTAGTGGAGCTCAGTGTGTAGATATGTTGAGAAGACTGGGAGGGTCAAGGATGGGTCAGTAACAGTTGTATTGTGTGTAGTCATGTTCTGGTTGGTGTTGCTGAGTTCCCAATGTGAGCATAAAAGCATGGCACCGGCTAAAAAATAACAACACAATTTTAGTGGTACATGGAGGCAGGGGGGGGTAGTGCTGTAAGCCTCCTTGATATTTGTGTAGACATGATCCAGCGTGTTTTCCCCTTGTGTCAAACAGGAGATGTGCTGATGGAACTTGGAGAGCACTGTTTTGAGATCAATCTGGTGGACATCCCTGATGATGAGTACAGCTTCTGGATGCCGAGACTGCTGCTTGCTAATAGCATTAGCTAGTGTAGTTACAGCCATAACAATAACAACAGTAAATTATCAAGGAAGGTAAAAGGGCCTACATCTTACCATCATGAACAACATATCAACAGAGCAGGAGCGTTCAACAACAGCTGAGCTGGTGCACCATTGGTTGTTCACAAACATATACAGTTCACCGCCCTTTGTTTTAAGCGATTTGGTCAGGTGTTTTAAGTGATTTGGTCGCAGCTCCTGTAGTATGATAGCCCAATCTGGTAGGCTGCTATGAAGCCAGGTTTCAGTAAAAATAAAAACACAACAGTGCCTGGTTTGGAGATCTGTCATAAGCCTGGGTCTAGCTTCTGAGTTTATACTGCTTGTTTTGTTCATCTTTTTTTTCAAGTGATCAGACATTTGCAAGTCGTAGGTTTAGAAGTGGTATTCTGGTTAGCTTTGCTAGCCTTGCCTGTACACCAACTCACCTGACCCGCTTTTGCTTATGCTCACAAGCCCGTTGACAGCATCTTCCAGTCTGAGGCAAGACTGTAGTTGACTCTAGGCCTCTGGGGCAAACAATGGGCAGAATAAGATTGAGAATCAGTGGGCTGAATGTTAAGTCCTTACACCGTATCCTGATGTCCAGTTATGTTTCCTGGTCTTAGACAATCATTAACTTGCACGTTCTGGGCAAACAGTATGTGAAACATACACAATACACAAATTATAGGCAAAACCTACATGTCAGTGGGAGAGGTAGCCCAGCTGTTGCCGTCTCCAGGTGCTGTTGGAAGTCTATGTATGTAACATCAGAACATGAGTCCAGTACTGATACACTGATACTAAGCTTATCACTAATGAAAATATCCACTACTGAAGAAATTGGTCAGTTTGATCATCTCTCAAAAGAGCTCAGTAACACTGAATTAAATATATCATTCTTCATGTTGATTTATCATTGAACTCAGACTTTAGCAGGAGATTCAATGTTCCTAAAGAAATAGTGGCAGCACTTAGGTGCCACTATGAGCCCAAAGGTCTATTACACACTTCTATAACCTGAGAATAGCTCAACAAGTTCCTGTAGTTAATGAATAATAAGACATAGTATGTAATAAGTCTTGGATTTTAAGAAATTAATAGTACAAACTTTGCACATACGTAGTACCGGTGAGTACAGAAGTACTTGCACAGACTTTAATTTGAAATAAGTAGTCTTTACAAAGCTGTTACACATTGTAACTTTATACATATTTACACAGCAAATGTTTCCCTCTTAGAACATTTTACGTAGTGTACACATTACCATAAAAGCTGTAGACCAGATCTAGGTTAAAAAACAATGATATAAAGTAAGTACTGTCTGTACTGTAGTGTGAAATATGGACGGATGAAGCAAAAACAACACACAGGCAAAAAGGCAAAAATAGAAATGTATTATACTAATACAGGTTAACCAGTGAAACAAGACTTTTGATAAAGAGAAAATCTACATAATATACAAGAATATAACAAATAATCAAACTTAATGTTGCCTTTTCAAAGTGTAACTTGGGGTTTTTGTATTCTGAAAACATTCTGAATACTTGTGTTCTGTTACCTGCAACATACATGCCATTAACATATTTTTCAAGTGAAAAAAACTTGATTGATTCAGCAGAGACTAACGTTTGAGACTTCTTAAGCTGTCTAAAACACAGTTTCTCATCTTTGCATGTGTTTTAAACACTGAAAAGTTTTGAGCAGAGACAGTCTCCACAAAACCACATCCTCCCTCAATCTCTGAAATCTGCTAACAACGAAGCTGCTGTTCACACACCTGCCTGCATGTCTCACTCTAGTAAAATATCACAACACTATGAATGCTGTGTTCTGTATACATAGATAAACCTATTATTATTAATAATAATAATATACATAGATACACCTATCATTAATAATAATAATAATAATAATAATAATAATAATAATAAATTCACTATTCTATAGTCATGTTAAGAAGTAAGTACACCCTGTGGAAAGTATAGACTTTTTAAACATATTGGCACATACAGACATTCATTTACACAATACTGGTAGATAAAGGTGATATATGTTAACAGTATATCGTCACTGTCCAATGAAAACCATGTATCTCCATTTTTTTTTATTTTTAATTTTCTACATCATTTCAACAAACCAGCTGTCCTTTATGTTGTGTACATTTCATGATGATTGGACCAATAGAAATGCTCTAAAATCATTTGGAACAAAATTTCTTGACATTGACTTACATTGAAAGGTAAGAGTGTTTTTGCCTTCTCCTGTAAAGTTCATATTTTGGAGATACTTGTTTTTCATTGGACAGCGATGATATATAACACTACTCCTTTTGGGACAAAACCTTGTATCTCCATTTTTGTCATTTTCCATTTTTTGACATAATTTGAATAAGCAATTGCCCTTTGTTGAGGTTTGAAATTACGTGGAAATAATTATTTCTCCATTTACTTGCATTAAAAATTAAAAACTTTATCCTTGTCCTGTAAAGTTACCTTTTTGGAGAGTTTTTTTTTCTGACAGCAGCAATATTTACATAGTCCTGAGGGTTCAAACCTATTGTGTTCGTTGCCATTATGCAAAGCTTGTGTGGTGCTCATTAGCCTGAACATTGCATTCATTCCATAAACTAGGGGCCACAGGCCCACTGCATTCACACATACACTCTGGGCCATGGGCCCATTGCATCTATTTGACAGGCCCACTTTAAAAACTCGTCAAGGTCACAGAACCTATTGCATTCACTCCATTGGCTTAGGGCCACTCATGCACTGTGTTCACTGGGCCACAGGCCCATTCATGCACTCTGTTTACTGGGTGACAGGGCCTTACATGCACTGACTAAAACCTTACCTCTTCTAAGTAGTCTCAAAGAATCACAAAATCTCAGGTAGCTCTTGCCACTGTTGATGTAAAAGCACATGCGTCTCTCATTAAAAAAGGCTACACAAATTTGACCTACATGGGAGGTGCGCCAGAAGGAAGCTGAAAAAGAACTGTCTAGAAAGAACA